CACAAAACATGAATGAGCGAAAAGAAATGAACTATATATTTGAGTACAAATCATAAATGTGTGAATAAAGCAATTCCAACAGTGGTGTGAACACGGGCAGTAATTTTGCTCGAAATATTACCAATAACTAAACTTATCATTGTGTGTAAACTATTGAAATATAATTATACTTTATTTAGTCTTCAGAAATATCAATAATAATTTGTAACGAATGATTCTTAGCCTACTAAAGGTGTTAGGCAAGCAACCTAAGCCGATCTACAAAACTCAAACAGGAAGTTAAAGATTTCACGGACTAATCCTGCCTTATGGTCAGACCACTGCGACCTTAAACTCAACCTCATCCTTTTACAACTTCATCGCCCGACCTACAATGTTCACAGAACACACCACACTTTATTTTTATTTATCAATTCGCCTGACCTAATACCAGTGACTTAACGAAGATATATGTGTCTTCGAAAGCTTGTAGTAATTCCAAATTTTTTTATATTCCATAGCCGGGTTAGAACAGTGATAATCACTTCACAGCATAATGTGATATAGAACAGTATTGTTTGCATGTATCAAAAATAACATAGGTCGGTAAATGTCAGACAAACCTTCTATATCTGTAATGAGATTTCCTGAGCAACCACTTCATGGAGTCTATTCGAGATTCTTATTCAGGTGAAAAAGTTAATGTGTTTAACCAACACACACACACTGTATCCTTCAACCAAGAGATAGTTCAGAACAGTCATCTGACAACATCCTACCTTTAACAGATGTGACCTTCCTCGTATCACTTCAGCAATTCAGGGAACATTTTGTCAGCGATATCCTGGAGAACTACGTCGTCTAATAACTAAGGTCAAGAAAACTCATCTGTGTAATTTCCATTTCGCGGTACTAATGAGTCTGTATATCAGACAAAGATGGACAAATACCTTGCAAGCACAAATTTACATGACCAAGCCAAATTAAGTATATCAGAAGGCTGTTTTATTACACGTTAAAGAGTTTGCGGGGAAATACCTCACAGTCACTTACGCAGTCAATAACACATTGTTGAACTCATATAAACACAAAGTAGACACTCATCTACTATCCTCGAAGTGGTTAACAAATCAAAGAACTTCAATTCCTTCCTGCTTCCCTTTGATCAGTCAATATTTTTAACTTATTATTTTTACTCAGAAAGAGACTATGATTATTAAGACTATGATTCTGATAACTAAAGTTTCGATACAATTTCCGCATTCTCTCTTTTAACGTCTTTTCAACCATCCTTTTCTACATATTTCTGTCTTGTTTAGACAGCAGACATATGCAGCCGGATATTTATCCCTCTGTTGATGAACTGAAAAAAAAGTATATATGCATGTTTCAATTTCAGATAAATTAATTCTACCATGACATTTTCTTTGTTGAGATTCATTATATGTGATTCTGCATACACCATATTTCTGTAAATATTTACTGCTTTGGATAACAAAATTGTATTACTAAATTTATCTCTTACAGATTCTTTAAACTATATTCAAGGTTACATGTGGCAGTAGATGGTATACGAAATAAAGGTATGCAGAATATTCTGCATACCCTATTCTTTTTTACTTCATTGCAGGTGACCAAGGCAACATGGTTTGGGGATTTGAGAGAATGTCATTTGATTTTGATTATCAGTTACTTCTGCTCTGAGACGAATTATACACTTAATTTTTCGAAGTTAGTAAAAGGCTCATTAATATAAGAATAAAACTTGTGCACTGTGGTAGAGTATAATTCCATTATGGGTAAATTTTTGTTTTGATAAAGTCTCACAGTGTTATGCAGTAATGTTTACTGATGACGTTTAGAGCACAATTTATTGCTTATAATCATATCAAGGATTCTAAATAAAGCAGGAATTAGGGTGGCATTTAAACCTACAAACTCACTCAGGGACAAGCTATGCAGGTTAAAGGACCCAGTTGACCCAACTAGACAAAATAACATAATTTACAAAATACCCTGCAATGACTGTGAGGTCAACCACATAGGTTAAACTAGTAGGTCAGGGGTAGTCAGATTATCAGAACATAAGAATTTAGCTAAGGTAAGAATGGTTGATCTTGAAAAGATAAGTAATTTAGAAAATACCTCGGCAACTGCAATGCATGCATTAACACACAACCACACAATAGGGTGGAAGAGGGTTGAAATTCTAAAAAGTAATCTAGATAGGTGGAGAGAGAGGTTGATTACTGAATCCTTGTTCATCGAGTCTACACCAAACCCATGCAATAGGAATGATTCATCACTCATACCTGAAATATGGAAAATACTACTGCCAGTCAAATCAAGGGAAAATCAAATGAAAAATAATGGAACTATATAAATGAAGTTAGGAAGTCGTGTGAGTACCTTGATATGATTATGAGCAATAAATTGTGCTCGAAACGTCATCAGTAAACATTACTGCATAACACTGTGAGACTTTATCAAAACAAAAATTTACCCATAATTAGTAAAAGGCTACTGTGCAATCGATAGTTTGTAAAATAATGGTAGTTATGCATAATAGGTAGATATGCGTGTCGGTACTAGAGGTTGGAGGAAATTAGACCCAGGTTTCGTGAAAGATGTCACTCGACATTCAAAAAGGTGTTACTGCAACGTTGGAGGAATTTGTTTCCCTCCTGAGATACGAACCTGTGTCACCGAGCGGTGCAGTTAGAGACTTTACCACTGAGCTATTTGGGCAGGCGATTGACTTGCTGTCGGATTGTATTGGTTAGTTTTGATTCGACATTACTCAGTAACTAGTGTAATGTGTGTGTGTGATTAGTCCTATCCTTGATGATGACTGATAGAATTTATTCTGAACCAAACAAAGGAGTAGACACACTGTACTACTTTCTGACTAGTGTCCCATCAGTGAAATACATGTAATGACTTTTGCATGATTACACGAGTGTGATTGCAGAGGAAGAGAGTAAAGATGTTAGCCACAATATTGATCATATGATATCCCCATTTTTTCATAAGGAACAGCACAGTTTTTGCTTGTCGAAGAAAAATTTGATCTACAGATATAATTAATAAAGAACTGGAGAATGCTTACTCGGTGCCCTTAAGTAATGGATGCCCTAGAAGGTCTAGTGCAGGAGTAATATCGGAAGAAGCCGCTCTTGGCCAAATAATAGTGCTGGAGAAGACAATGGTTGTGAGTTTAGCGTTCACAGATGTTACTGTTGCTTAAGTGGTTGCAAATCATTTGCACAAACGTATTAAACGCTCTTTTTATTGCCGCTAACTTGCACTTAGTATTCCTTAGCCAAAGTAAGATTCGAAAACGTATCAAGAATAAAATACGGCTTATCCCAACCTCTAAATGCAGGTACCTTTTTAATCACATACTGCTATGAGACTGAATAGACTGGACGTTGTATGCGTGTTCTGTAGAAACGCGTGGCTGACCACTACCGGGTTTGGTTAATGAAAGGCGAGAATGGGATGACGAAATCTTCCATTTGTGACCACCTCCGGGAGTCAGGCCATCCCACCCCAAGCAATTTATCCAAAATTTTACGTTTTCGCTACTTATTTGTAGCCGTAGAAACAGCTATATATGAATAAAAACCTACACTATGTATTCAAAGACGTTATGGTGAACCCCCTTCTCTATCTTTTTAGTTGTATTTGCCTTTTATATTACTATTTTGGGATTCTCTCTTTCCTAGACATCCTTCTTACAGGAAAACTAGGTGATAGTATGAAGAGAAACTTGCATAAGAGAAGCAAATGGACAGAGCAGTATTCACATTTTCATTGCTTCTTTTCTCTGTCGTACAAGAGAAATTTAAAAAGAATCCCAAGGTATAGGATCAGATCTCTATGCTCAGAAGACATAACTGGATAAACTGAGGACTGTACATGACACCTTGATTGGAAACAGCTATCCAGAAAAGTTTATCGAGAAACACATGACCAAGAAAGTAGGAAAGGACTATTGTGTAAATAAGAAGCATTTATACATACGACTGCAGTTTAAGGGCGATATACCTTGCTAAATAATTACGAAAAAGTTAGGGAATTCCATTCAAAGAACTTTTAATGCTGGTAAACTACAAGTCATATATATATGAGCAAATGAGAACTGTAGCCTTTGTAGAGCTCTGGAACCACATTTTACCCTGCGTCATCATTACTCAACACCCACTTAACTCACTTACACTAAAGGAAATAACTGTTGTCTTAAAAATCTCAGCGCCAGAGTAACACTCATCTAACAGAGGAAAGCATGCGTTGAATTCAATATATTGGAACTCCGCTTGCTTTTAATTTATTATTCTTACTCAACAACCTAAATTATTTGTCATAACATCACTAAAAGTAGTTAAACACCTATTATTCAGTCATTAAGCTCAATTAAAATCAGACATAAACTGTCTACTACTACTATTATGCTTTCATCAAGAAAAAGCATAGTAGCTTGAAAAACAAACAAACAAAGGAATTCTCGTAAACGATACTTCTAAATTCAGAGAAAAGAGTGAAGTCAAGTAAATCTTAAAACCTCCAATTATAAATAAACGTCGTAGGGCTTTTATCATTTTAAAATGTCTTTCATTTATTGATTTTCTTGAAAAAGAAAACCAAGTGATTTGCGCTTACTAGATGCCTAATTAGGGTGGCCGCCATTAAGGCATAAATTGAGAAAACTAGTATTCAGTTGTGTTGGTAGGAAACGCATGCTTTCTTTGTAGAAACTAATCAATGGCACCTGTTGTCTAGAATTCATGCTTTACACACTTGTTCAGTTTGGTCAGCAGGCTATTTTAGCAGGCAGGGATGAAGCGAATAGTTGTCTAGTGGTTGAGACCTACTTCTTTCTGTTCTAACTTCATAGAATAGGCCATTGAATTGTTGTTAGGACACTAAAGAAGAATATAACGAATTCATCTATGTGATTACTTGCTGGCAACTCATTTTATACACAAATTAAAATTTCATGAATATGATTGTAAACTTACTCTCCACCGAACAATTGCATGCCAAGTAGGGCGAATATCAGGATGAAAAGGAAGAGTAGGAATAATAATGAAATAATGCTTCGCATAGAGTTTAGTAAGGAAAGCACCAAATTCCGTAATGAAGCCCAGTACCTTGAGGAAAAAAATGAATTAGATATATATTTGTAAATAAAAGTCAAATATATGTGTTTATCAAAAAAGTGAAATAATGTTGCCTTATGTGAAATAATCCACAATGTTGAGAGATGACATTTTGGTGTGAATTCTTTGCAGGATTTCTGAGTTTAAGTACATCATGACCAAATGACCTCATAGAATGGATCTGGGATAGAAGCGTTGATCATTGAATTAAGACTGTACCACTCTATATATGGGTTAAAAATGCACCGGATGCCCAAAATACATCCATGCCGCTGAAAAATATCTCCGTTTATCTTTGTTGTGCTTGAAGTTTCTATAGCCAGGAGGTTACTTTCCGGATTAGTCGACAGCGCCACATGCAGCCCTTCTTCCATTCCCGGTCTTAGGACCGGCTAGTAAACTAGTGAACTAGTGAAACTGTGAATAGGCCTTCGACAGCGTTGAATACTAAGTGATTTGGAAACTACTTCAAACTAAAGAGTGCAGTGCCATAAACTCCTATCAACCTCCTTCAACAGGTATATGACGATTCCTCATGTCAACTGATTCACACGGGAAAACTCCGCAATGACTTTCAAGTAAAGACAGGAGTAAGACAAGGTTGTCTTCAATCACTGATGATATTCTTGATTGTGGTGGACTAGGTCATATGGTAGTCAGGCCATGGGAAGTGAGAAGGCAGGAACACGCTGAATCAATAAGAAGACTCTAGAAAAGCTGCAACTCGCGGATTATTTGTGTCTAGTGTCACCTAAGCTCGAGGAATTACAGGTGAAAACCAACAGGTTTGCAGAAGAAGCATCCAGTGGAGACGGAATTTCAAGTGTAAATAGAGAAAATGGACCGAAGAGGTTTGAATCAGGTCACTTCTTTTACTTATCAAGGAAGCATCGGAAACACAAGGCAGACCTGCATCACTCCGAAATCAGTGTGGAAACCTTCTGCAGTCAGCATAAAGTACAAAATTCTAGATTCCAACACTAATGCTAGGTTAGTCAGTTCTTCTATATGGCTCGGAAACTGGGCGCATCACTGAAAGCCTTTCCAGCAGCTGGTTACAAACTTTTATCAACAACTGCCTTAGATATATACTGAAGATCAAATCGGCCGTCTGAAAGGATAAGTAATAATTAACTCTGCTTGGCAGCAAGTTGCACAGTAGATATGCAGAAAGAAAGGGAGATAGAATGAGCAGTCTGAAAAAACGACTCAATTGGGAAACGATGATATGGAGGATCGAAAGTCACGTGGAGGAGATAAGAGCTTATGAGCAGTTGTGAGACCAGCTTAAGAGCACAGTACATAACAGGACAAAATGGGCATGTTTTGCTGAAGCCCCTATATTCCCCTATGAACCTAAGAGAATGATAAAACTGAAAAGCCTTACTCATACATAAAACATTTGTTCACTGAAGAACTACCTTACTTATGAGAAGCTAGTTAATTACAAGAGGGAAACGATTGTTATTTGACATAATATCATGATGTGAATTTCATACATGATTTTTGAATTATAACCACTGTAATAGGGCAGTTCATTTCATATTCACAGACCGGTGAAAGTCAAAAAACTAGTTGTAGGTTATAAGCAAGTCTTCTACACTTAACAAAATGTCTAGTCTTTTTCATCTTTTTTTATGTAGTCAGTTATGAAATCAAAGGTTTCTTTTAACTTAGCTTGCGTGACACTAGCATGATAGGAGACGTTGAATTTTTAACTGCTTTGACAATCAAAATGTTGACTACTAGTAAAAAACAAAAATGGTATGGATACATTTACGTGGAAAAAAGAAAAAATCTTTTGTGATGGGACATATATTGTATGTATATACAAATATTCGCTTGTACAAATTTGTAAGACGAATTTCCTCAATGGAGTCTATTTTCAGAACTAATTTTCTTTCCCTTCATGTCACACTTCTTGTACAATATAAAATGAATGTTATGAATTGTTCGAAAGTTCCAAGAAGCAGAGAGTATCTACCAACTGGTTATTTCAACAGTGGAATATTATTTAACTTCATAAAAAGACTTCATCGAGCAGGAAAGTATTTTAAGAAGACAGTGATATTTCATAGGAATAGTGAATACACGTTATTCAAGAAAACTAAATGAATAACAAACTTGAAACAGAGGGGTGAAATAATTAAAATAACTGAATGAAATTTTTCAAGTATTGGTTTTGTAGGGATTTTGTTTGATTGCATGGAGGATTTCATCATGAGTGAACTTTAACAAATACCTTCTTAACTTTACTTCCCAATGATAACAAACTACAGTGAACCGTGATATTCAAAGTCTTGAAGCAGTAATAACGGAAATCTCTTCAACGTTTAACAGCTAACTGTGAATAATTCCCATGTTATGTGATTAATAATACATCAGTCAGCAAAGAGATCGATTTTTATGACTTCTTTTGAAAGCTGTACAGTTATTCAGGAGGGTTATATAAACAACTGATGTCAGCTCAGACCTGTAACCCGTAAAATCCTTGCAAACCAACTATTGATAGTAACGTGAATTGACAACAGAGATCAGAGGTTATTGGAGTGAGAAAAATCATAAATCAAATTGTAAGAGTGGTACCAATGACTGAGAAGTCGAGAACAGTTTAACCTAATCAAAAAGGATGACAACTAATTAGTTAAGTGATGAATATTCATTTGTAAGTAACTGATAGCAGACAAGAACACGGAGGATCTAAAATGAGCCGGAAAACATAAGAAAATAATAAGGCCTACACAGAGTTTACTAACTAGCTATTCAGGAAGACGAAAGAGAAAAAGTAGCACTAAGTTTACTATAGTAAAAGAGACTGAATGAAGCATTCCTGACACAGTAAGTTCAGGTTTTTTCCTATGGATTGCTGAGGTTTTGGCTGAATGAAAAAGGTGAAGTCAAAATCCTTCTGAATGGATTGATCCTGGCTTATATGTGACTGTGAATGAAGTCTTTGCTGACGCTGCATGACCAAAAGTAATGATGTGTACCAGAATCGTGCTGTTAACTGTTTTGTGTTCTTCTTCAATATATGCAAAATTGCTTTCAGTGATAGTGCTGATTGTTTTTAAAACACAGACTGGCTCTAAATTATCAACTGGTTCGCACTTCATGACATCTTATCCATAAGGCACCAGATTGGTCGGTTACATGGATGATAATTACATACTTTAAAGGACGGCAAATTTACTACGATTTGCCGAAGCGATGGCAATCAAACAATTCAAATCAGACTTATGCATACAGAAAAAGAGTGTTATTTAATCTCTCACTCCCTTGGTCACTGAATTTCGATTTTGATTACACTAACTAGTCACGTAGTTCAGTGATCCCAACTGACTGAGCAAATCTCAATCTTATAAACTGTAACTGCTTTTGTTTTTGAGTTGCAATGTGGACCTATAAGCTTACACTGTTTGTTATTTTTTTTCTGTTTTCTGTCTTCCCCATTCCCCCTCTTTTCTACATTGAAAGCGTATAAACTGATGATGAAAACCTAAACCATAAATTGTAAACCGTGTATTTTGGATACGTCATTTTGATAGTATTTCTTCTCTACTACCACTTAAAGAATAAAATATTTTGTTATCATCTATACAACCATTGTAATTTCAGGTAGTCTGTAGATGATGAGAACCTGTGAAATAGAATGATGATATCATTTTATACTGTGAATCGGATATTTTTAACTCTGTCAAAATTTATCAAAGGAACCAAATGTATGAGATTGGTAGGTCACTGATAAATAACATTTATCATGGTTTTTATTCCTAAGTGCTTACAGACATCGGTGGGTCGGCTCACATATACCGTCATAGAATGCAGCAGTCAGACACCATAAGATTAAAAAGCCCATGATCTTGGTTTGAAATTTATCCAACAAAGTGTTCTCTTTATATCTAACATACTGATGCTACTCTTAAGATTTTGAAGTAAATAATAAGATTTTTAGGTTTGGCGGATGATATCAGAGTTCTCTGAGGTAGATGGTTTGACTGCTTGGCTTTTATTCTTCTTCTCGATAGCATTATCACTATTGGTTGCAATATGAATTCAGCTCTGAATATGTCTAGAAAGATAATGTAGCCTTCTCAACTCAATCATTCACTTCATAGAACACAACAACATCGCACTGAAATACCAGAATCAGTTTATAGACTTTGATTACCGGTGTATCGCTTTACAGCAAGGCTACCAATGAACTTTATAAGAACTTTCGTTGAAACCCAGTTTGTTGAAACGTGTACCGTCTTAGGGTTACTTTCATCCTTTTTATCACTAAAGATGACATTAGTTGGAGAACCACTAAGTAGCCAAAGACAACTATTTTGCCCTTGTTTGAAACTCCTCTTCTGCATGCAACTACCGGCGTTTGAACCCAGGATCTTCCAGTCATAAGGCATGCTCATGGACTATTCAACCGCTTAAGACAAAATCTAATAGCCTGAGAATTCCGAATTCTGACAACTTGTGTCATACGTGACGCAACCACAGTCCAACGTCATGGGTCAGTAACACTACTTTTACCTGACTTGATGGACCTCATCGGTAAACACATCAGATTAATTATGAAATCTTGATACTCTAAATGAAATCAACTCTTCATCAAACCTGTAATCGATCAAATCCCTGCAAACCAGCATGGTATATTATTTTCACTGACTGTGAATGAAGAAACTGAACAGTTCACTTAAAAGTAGCATTCTCTGAAGAAACCTGTGACCACGAAAGAAAAACTCATGGAATTCGCAAAAAAAGCTAGAAAAATAACTTTATAAAAACTAGACAGGAAATTCTATGCGTCCCTTTTGTTGTTGTTTTTATTGTTTAAACAGAGTTAATTCTGTCTTTTCTATGCACATAGTCTAAAAAATATGTTTGCTATAAAAGAAAATTCTACTCCGTGATTTACAGGAAGTTGAAAATTTTACTTTGGTGTGTAAGATTCTAATTTTTGACAGAGTGAATTTCAAAAAAAGAACGAAAAAAATGATAACGAAGATAATAATAGTAATAATAATATGGAAATGAAATCTGCTCATATGACTTATTCGACTATTTGAACAGATGGTTAAATACGTAAATAATAATAATATGCGAAGCACTGTGTACGTCACAATGTCCTCTCCCCTTCCAAAAGGAAAAAATTAATTTAATGTCAAACATCAGAACGAATGAATAGTAGTTTATGGTATAAAAGGAAATGAGAAATCAATATCTACCATTTGCAAAATTTACGTAATCAAATTTTTTCTTCAAGTTTGAGAAATAGAGATTCTTTTCAGCTGAAGAAATGATAAGTTACAAAGGGTGAATTAATCATTTCGGTTCACTGTCGATTCGTTTGAAATTATTGTCAACGAACTAAGATGACAGATTTTTGAGCCTGTGGAGAGAAACTTCTCTTTCTAGCTATAATGACACTCCTTGTTCATTAAGTAAAGTTCATTACGAACTGGGAAGTAGCTAGGATAGGTTTCTTGTATACACACTCATAACTATCGTGATCATTGTTCCCTCCGGTTCCAAACATATTTCCATTTCATCCAGTTTTGTGTGGTCCTTTTCAGCTGGCTCTATGACTGCCCGCAGGCCTTCATTTCCTTCTGACACGATCTCCTCCACGACATCCTTGGAACTAATATCCAACTCACTGTTTTCCATTCTAGTTCCAGTCGAGTGTGTGTCTGGAGTGTGAGGTCACTGAAGGATCGCACGTTCAGTTCGTCTCTGTTCCCTTCTACATATTTGTTGAGCTTTGGGTCTTCGATTTGTTCATTTCTTCCTAGAGTTTCTTCTTCTTTTTCCTTACTGATTGACAACATGAATTTCAGTAAAGAGGAAAGCCGGTTGTTGATAAAAGTCCGTTGGAAGTACTAACATATTGATATTGGTGTCGGAAATCCTAATCTTGTTCGTTATGCTGAGCGCAGCAGATACCCAAAGCGATTTCAGGTTAATGAAAGGCTGCCTTCATTTTCTATGACTTTGACAGCCTAATCCATGCCCAAGAGAACTGGAAATGTTGACTTCCCTTAAAATTCTCCTGCCGACTGTGATTAGTGCTTGTTGTTGCAGTGTTCTTCTTGGTCGGTGATTATCTTCATCACCTCTGTCTTATCTATGTTCTCTTTAAATCTTGTCTTTACCATCTACCTGTTCTGTCAACCTGTTGATTTTCGCCTGTAAATCTTTGAGTTTGCGTAACATTAGACATGAATCATCCGACTTCTAATATTTTTTGTTTGTGTAAAATCCTATCTGGTTGGGTGTGAGGACAAATACTTGCCGAAGACATTGGCTAGCGGTCGCGCTATGTCTTGAATTGACTGAAGTTAGTATTCATTGTCTGGCCATTGGATTGAGTCTCAGTGGCTTAATTGTCTACGATCTTGCTTTGTAACCAGAGAGTTCTGGGTTTGAACCCTCACAGTGAGTGCGTACTGATGAAGAGTTCCAAACTAGGACGAAACAGTTGTCCAGTACTCCCAGGTTTTCCAGTGGTTCTCTAACCTATGTCAGCCGATGACCAAATCCTGTAACCAATTAATGAAATCCCTACAAACCAATACTTAAAAATGCCATCGGAAAAATTTTCACTACTTTACACACAAACACATATCTGATTTGTTGTGTGTCAGTCACAATCATAAACCTACTGAGTTCTAAGTGAAGTTTGATCTGAATCGAATAAATATAAATTCAGGTATGCAATTACATAATGTAAAGAAGAAATAATCTACAATCGAATATATCTGTTTCACATAATAAGTCTTCAGCTTGGACGTAATAATGTAACGGCAGGAAGTGAAAGACTTGATAGAATAATGTTAGTCTGCCAATCGGTATCTATGTACACCTCATCTTCAACGGACCGTCTGCACAGACCTTCCATTTTGTGTTACTTCTGACCATCATATTGCATTCTGTGTGTTCCATTCACGTCTCCCAAGCATCTACTCAAGGCGGTATCATTTGCTTTCTGTGACATCTAAACTGTCTCCCTGCTATTTGGCACTTTTAATGCCAATGAACGTCTCTTTATATGTTACTGATAAAGCTTATCAGTAGCACACACCAGGATAGTTGTTCAAAACCTCTTGGTTTCAACCAGTCCGTTTTACTGACATTAGTTATTTAGGAATTCAACTCTACCAATTTGATTTTAAATGCAATCGTCTTCACTTCGCATAACACTTCGTTTAACTTCGAAGGTATAAACAACACGATATAGATGAGACACAAATTCGATCATATTTTTCCTACCTTGTAACTTTAAAAATCCTTAGCAATCGCAGAGCACGTAAAACGCTAATTCCAAAAGATGCATCTGGATGAAAAAATCCCCAGATGATTTCAAATAAACTTCCTATAATAACCTGTAAACAAAAGTAAAAGGGGAATGGAATGACAACAAGGAAAGTTAGTCATATAGCAAACAAATACATATATTTGGAATTGATAGTGTTCTCTGAGCTCCTTGGTTTAATTGCGGAGCTCCGCAATTAAACCAAGGAGCTCAGAGAACACTATCAATTCCAAATCATCCACCTGAGTTACAAATCTTTTCTATTATTTCAAATACATATATTCTTCAAAAAAACTATCATCTGTTTTCATGCTATATCCTTTGATTTACGAGTTCACACGTTAGCTGTAGAATTATTTGAGTGCTGGTGAAGATGACATTCTGATGGCAGTGTTATAAAAGGGACTCACTCGAGAAGTAAGGTTATACATCTGCCTTTGATTTCGTAACTAGACCCCTTTGTTGAAGAATCTCTCGATGACGTTAGATTAGTATGTGCTTGCATTCTTATTTTTCAGATATTAAGTATTACGAGGTGGCTCTCGTGGCCCAAGTGGTCTAGTGGATAACGCTTTGGCGTTTGAAACTATGGGCACTGGGCTCGAGCCTCGGTGGGAACATCATCACTCACTGAGAAATGCAGGTACATCCAGCTGACGAGTCCCAAATAGGACGAAATGCGCATCCTGGATTCCACTACTAGCCACCATCCACCAATTGTATACTAATTAAATACCCAGACATCGTCGAAGCATCTGCACAAGAAGCCGACATGTCAACCTGAGACCGAGCACTTCGGTCCAATCAATCGACGGGAAAATCAAAAAATTCAATTCAATAACACCAAGTTAATATTTCCGAAATTCGTCTTTTATCAAGTCTACTTCAGAATGTTCTTAACTCTGGTTGACAATCATTTTTGGAGCAAACTGAGTGGTTTCTTATTTGTTAACTTTCAATGTAAGTCACTTCCAGTAGAAGTCAAGAAATTCACACTGACCTGAAATAATATGTTTAAAATCTTTGATAGTATAAATATGTAACAAAATCAGGATATATGATTCGATGGATATTATATCACACCAGATCGAGCAGACATTGTGCTTGGACTACGCATACCTTAAATAGTAGCAGGGTTTTCATGACACAAGCTGGACATTAAAGATTAACTATTTTGTTGTCCAGTCCTTTATGATGATTAGATTTAAGCTAAATAACTCACTAACGCAACTCTTGATAATGCTTCGCATTATTATTACCACTACCAAAGCATTTGAGGTAGATGTGTATCTGTTTCACTCCCAACGGGCTATAACTTCTCATTAGAACTTCAGAACACTTAACTTTTTGCTGCTAATGAGCAGAAGATTGATATTCAGTTACAAGCTTAAACGCTTCTGGGTGCAAATCTGCTGCGCACTACTGGCTACAGGATAGATATTCTGAATTCTGTATGAGATATCTTAATCGATGGAGTCAACCAAATGGAATGTGAGAGAGGTGTTCATTGACGAAACTTTTCAATGGTCTTGCTATATCTAGAACTGAGGGGAGTAGGAATTCATAAGTCCCTAAATTCCAACCAGGTGGTCGGATGATCAACAAGGTGGCTACGTAAACTCAAACCGATAACTTCGATTCTTGGTGGATTAGTTGATAAACACTTATGAAGAGTTCCAAACAAGAATGAATAAACCTTCGAATTCGCCTTGATTTTTATCGTTTCCCCGACTTTTTTAGTTCTTAACAAAACCCATAGTAAGACTTATCGAATTCCTCACAAGCCTAAAACATCAAAATGTTTTCCATCAGACATTTTCGTCTTTAATGTTCACATAATGATAAAGAACTCAACGTAAATTATCTAGTAACTACTGGGTTTGTGGTTCAGCGGCAGAATGACTGCTAATTTTGTACGGGGTTCAATGCCGTATCGGCCCACACCTTTACCTTCCCTAGACGGTTGTAAGCCCAACAAAAGGGGAACTGCAGAAATACTCTTTCACATCAGTGGAACATCATAGTTGATAAAAAAGCAATTAACTCAGATATTGAACAAATTATCTTACCACACAGTCGAAGATATTGAAAGACGATTCAAAGTAGATTCGTACATTCAATCCATATACTTTCAGTAACATCTCGACAATAAATAAGCCAAGGAATACAAATTCAGCATAATCTGCAGGGGGGACATAAATTTCAAGGAATTAAAAACGAATAATAAATATCGTTTCAAACAAGGAAGTAAATTAAAACAATATTGCTTTATAAACTAAATGAGCCTCATGACACTGACTTTTTAAATATGATTTCGAGTAGTGTATCAAGCATCTTTGCAATCCTTCCATTCCCTACTTGAAATAACGACAATGTACATAAGCTTCGGACAATGTACATAAGCTTTGGCGTCGGTGGCACAGCGGTTAGGACGCTCGCCTATCATGCACATGGTCCGGGATTCGATCCCTGGCCGACGCACTCCTTTACCTCGCTAAGTCAGTAGTCAGACTCGTGGGAGAAAAGGTTGGGCGTGAGGCTAGCAACCCCATCCTGTAAAAATAAACACTGCTACAGAAACTTCAAGACACTAACTTAAAGCCCTATATTCCATTGGGAACGTGAAGGAAAAAATTTTAAAAAGTTACATAAGCTTCGAGTTGTATTTACAAATCTCCTGTCCTAAACTGTAGGAGCTTATAAATCCTAAGTGGTGCGTCAGATGTTCAGCGATAGATACCTGGCTTACCATGCACGCGGTCTGGAGTCCGGGTCCTCGTCAATTCACCCCTTTACCGCCCTTATCCAGTTACAATCTTAACAAAGAAGGGAACTTCGGAGTGAAGCTAGCAACTGCACTCCATGACAAGTAACACTAGTGCTAGTGAAACAGAAGAACCCACGCTTAAAGTCCTATGCTCCACTCGGAACACAAAGGAATAAAGAGAAGGTGGGTGGACATAGCGTAAATACTTGGAGATATTCACAAACACGCACACATCATCGTAGTTTAATTTTTGTTCAATAGCCATCAGTAAAAATATGATATTTCCTCCGCTTACACTCACAAAGAAGCTAAAAATTTCTGAGAATCTTTGCTGCTAGTCAACAGATTTCTAGTACTTAAGAAAATATCACATCTATAAGACTGACTAGCATGGCAAACCTGTGAAAATTGTTCCTCATGGAGGACTTGAAATGAATCTCTGCGTTACACGAGTATGGTACTTTTATTGTTTTTATTTGGTCACGCCACCATTCAGCTTAGATCGAAAGAATCTCGTTCAACTGATTATGCACATATATGAAGATAGATATGATCACATAATCACTGAAATGTTTTCTAGGAATGGATGTATAATTTCTAACCATTTCATTGTGTCGTTTTCAAATTCGTTAACCTTTATCAGTTAACGGAATGAGGTAGCGTGATATTTGTAAATGCTTTCTACCTGCCAACGTCAATACATTACTGACTGACACTGTGAGTGAAAGGCAAACAAATGTATGAATAGCACTAATGACAATACAAAAACAACCCAAAAGTATTGGAAATCTGGAGAGTATGCAGCAAAAAGCATAAGAAAATTGACTGAGTTTAAATCTCCACTGATGTGAAGTTTTTTAGGTCATCAGGTGTGAATTTTTCCGGTACTATACTGATTCCTCCGAGAGAACGGACGATATTTTCCAAGTCATAGCTAAATAACTTCTGTAAATATCATACTGTTATCACAGCCTGGATTCTCCATATTTTAACTCTTTTCATACTATTATGCACTCAGTCAACAATAATATTTGCCGTATATGACAGTTGTAGCTTTCAGAGCCGACGAAATTTCCCCATTGTATCGCTCTTTAAAACGGCAAACCACAAACTTATGGAACTCCGTGCACCAGGCAGCATGATGCCGATTAATTTCCTATGAAAAATCAGCCTATATATCGCAATCCTTCAGATAACCAACCATGCTATGGAGAGCCTACCGGTTAACTTTCTGATTACCTGAATGGTTGACACGGATTTAGTTGCTTGAGGCAACATTATCCTAATTAATGTTTCTGACTGTTCCTCACAGATGAGTATCAGTTAACACAAAGTCTGGGTATACAGCCTTCTGTCACTTACATCCAACTATCCAAAAGCTATCTGCTTGAGAAAGATTTCTTCTCAGTAGTCTAAAGTTTATTTAACGCCTACTCAGTTACGTTCATCTTCTTCACATTTGTGAAGTCAACAAAATGAAGTTCATAGTCCTCAACTAGCTTGCAATCAAACAACTACATACATAAACCTTTCCTTAGATTGTATATATTGACTTTTAAACCATTATCTTAATTCAAGTTTATAGTTTACAATACTGGTATAGAAGCAATAATAGAGAATGAAGGTGAATGAATACAAAGGCAATCTTATCCTATAAAATCTTGACCTATATCTTTCCCTTTCATCATCATCAATATCCTCATTGTGATTATCATCTTAATATATATCCACATAATATTATTTAATTAACTAACTAAATTTACCAGATTTCTGCAAAACTCTTTGTAGCATTACTCCCTCACTGGTCATCAATACCTTTTTCTGTCGTTAACATTATCATCTTTAGAATCGATGCAGAGAATTATCTTTAAAAAATAAACGGTTTTTAAGTGTCTGTTCTCTACTTCTGAACACAAAATATGTTAACAAATTAACTCGTGCATTAAAAGTAATCTAGGAAGAAGAAGAAGAGGGAGACAGGAAAAAATTAAATTAGTTCAAGTGTATCTACACCAATTAAATACAAACACAAGGACATCAAAATGGAGGATAAGTAGACTAAAATTTGAGGAGAGAAAATAAAAGACCAATTCATAAAGATTGAAATGAGTCTGACCAAATATAACTTTAATTATTAGAAACAAAGAGAAATTAAGTTAAAATATATACATTTGTATATAATCTTATGGGAAGCTAGCGAAAAGTAAGCAGATTCTTTAGACTTTGTCTATGGTTCAGTGACAAAATGCTTACCAACCACTAGGTGTAAGACTCAGATTTGATTCCAGGTCAATGCACTCCTGAACCAATTCCAGTTTACCTGCCGGTTTTAAATGTCCGGTAAAAGAAGAAGGTTGGTTATGAGGTATCCCATCCAGTAAAAACACTTCAATCACTACTCAGTCTTCTAAAAACTGAAGCCTTATTTTCCATTTAGCAAGCAAGGAGATGGAAAAAAACATGTGTAGGATAATATACGTATAAATTTACAGGCAGGAGATTTTGTCATCCTGGGAAAGGAGGTTATAAACACTTTTGTATATGGTGGTATGCCTAAAGAAATGTGACATTTTGTCATTCCATGAGTTTACATAATATACAGACAGTACAACAATCGATGACATGAAAAGTCAAATGATGTCTACACTATATTTCTTTGTATTGTTGGTAATTATGTATACGGTCTAAGATAGTTGACAGTTAAAATTATGATGTGCAGAAGAATACGATTCATGTAGATAGAATAAGTCAAATTTGTAATTTCATACTAGATAAGTTAGCTTGATATAACACACAATGTGTCTGTCTGTCTGTTTTCAGCATAGAACTTTGCACCGATGTGCGACAGTTCAAGTTGCCACACTCCATGTAGCACACAAAACAAGAGAAGAAAGTAGAAGGAAAACAAAATGGAGACAGTAGACAGAGATACAAGACAAAAGGAATGGTAATAACTAAGATCAATATAGTTTCATTGGATATCATAAGTAACAAAAAGTGGATGCATCTACGCCATTGAGAACGATTTGGAGCCATATCATCAATTGTTTCCAACCATTGGTTTTTACCGTCCCGAGGACCCTAACCAGGAATTCTACACCTTCCTACGTGGCTTAAACTAACTGTTGTGGATTTCATTGACTGGTGCCATGTTTTGGTTTGACCGCCGCCAGCTCTTTTCCAGCCTGACCCTATATCAGCTAACATTGCCATTCGGAGAAGGCGATGACTAGGCATACGTAACACATGCCCTAACCACCTCAGTCTATGTAGTTTCACAGCCTCGTCGATTGATTTCCCCTACGTACCTAGCACTCGACGCCTAACCTCAATATTGCTCACGCTATTTTACCACTTCACATGGGAGAGAGAACACAGGCACCTATGATCGAAGACAGCTAATCTCTTCATGTCTTCCACTCTCAATGGCTAGGTCTCACAGCCATAAGGGAGGACAGAGAGGACTGCTGAGCAATTCACACGGCCTTTCAGTCGATAGCCGGATATCACGTCTACTAAGCCAGAGACGGCGTAAACTGGCATGTGCGAAACTAGCCCTCTGTATCCATGCTAAGATTTCGTCAGAGATCAACCCATTGGGCTGATGGTACTTCCCAAATAAGTGAAGCGGTCAACGTGCTCTACCACTTCACTCCCTATTTCTAAACTAGGAGTCAGTGTAGACCAGTCCTGTAACATCGTCTTACATCTGGCGGGAGCGAATCGCATGCCAAACATTTGTACATTGCAGCTCAAGGTGTTCAGAAGACTCTGCATTTTGTCAGCGACCTCGCCTAGAAGGACTATGTCGTCTGCATACTCGAAGTCAACGAGATCATTTCCTGGAAGCAAGTCAATCTCTGTGTCTCTGAAGTGAGTTAGGGTTAAGTTCATCAGTACATCTATGATGAAATTGAATAGAAATGGGGATAACGGGCATCCTTAACGGACACCACTAGTCGTCACCACTTCAGACGACAACTTGCCATGAGCCCTCGCCTCAGTGATACAATATTGATAACTGGATAGTGTTTCATGCACAACTGACTACTCATGAACATAAACACGGCTTACTTGTTTGTTTTGGATATTTCCCCTTCCCCTTGCTCAATTGTGTGTTGCGATTTCCCAAATCTCCCTTGACGGACAGACTGTCAACGCGTTTCGTATTGATATGATTAACAAAGACTCAATGATTCCTCCCTCTCTCTGAACAGTTAAATATATTACTTTTTAATACTTTCACATTATCCCAGGCTATTGTGTGATTACATGCAAGTGAATGTGCTGCAGTAGCAAAGCTTCTCTCTAGATTATTTAACTTAACGGGGTAAGTTGTTCTGGGTTGAGCTAAATTTTTGTATTCTGATAATCTAAGTGAACTAGATCTACTAGTTTTACCTATGTAACTAACCTCACAGTCATTAAATGATATCTGATAAATAATATTTCTTCGTTTAATTGGATCTGTCGAGTGCTAAATCCGACAAAGTATACGTTTAAAGGAGTTGGTTGATTCGAATGCCAGTCTAATTCCTGCTTCATTGAGAATCCTGCAAAGTCAGACTTGTTGAGTCACGAAAATATAAGACTTAAGACAGGGAAAAATTAAATTCCATCTCTATGTCTTGTGGAACTTCCCACACAACTTTGTAGCAATATGTTGGGAATGTGTATGGGTCCCTATACGTGTTTTATACAACCTTCTGAATGTAGGACATGATATAAACACTTAGAACGTATTCACAATAGTAAACAGAGAAAATAAATTCAGTCGACTTCTCTTCACGGTAGCCAGTAAAATAAAAAGATTAAGATATGACTTCTGTGTTAAGGGGAAAAAAGGGACATCGAAATTATTCTCTGTAATTTTTTTCCTGAAACTGTCTTATTCTTTGTTTGCTTTCATCTACTTTTATGTTAACTTTATTTGATCACAGTGACTGTTATTCACTACTACTTCCCATACCACCTCAATTCTCTCACACTTATTTCCCCTAGATGTTTTTGATTGGGGACTGGTAACCAGTGTGATGTGTCTTGTCCTTCCTTTGGTGCAGACTGAATTCTGTCAGTCAGGTTTGCAATGTGGACACCATTCAGTGTAGCTCGCCATCACGATTCACATTGATGTGATGATATAAGATGATTAAAGTCAATTGCTAGTCCGAATAGCCCAGTGGTAACGTCTCTGACTACAGAACTGGGTGACGCGGGTTCGAATCTCAGAAGGCACATGAGTTTCTTCAAAGTTGCAGATATGCCTTGCTGATGGGTACCATCTATCATATAACCTAGGTTCAAGGCTTCCTGTGGCCGATTACCACCAACCACCTAACATCATCAAATTAATAATGTTTATTACTTTTATTCCTCTGCATTCCAAGTGGAACATAGGGTTCCAAGCTTGAGCTTTGAAGTTTCGGTAGCAGTGGTATTTATTTATACGGAGTGGGGTTGCTAGCTTCATGATTGACCTTCCCTTTTTACCAGTCTTACTGCTGGCTTACTGGGGTAAAGGAGTGCGTCGACTGGGAATCGAACCACAGAGCACATGAGTGACTGGTGAGCATTCTACCGCTATGCCACCGACATACTTAGATAGTAGTATCCCTCAAAAATACATGGTGAACAAATATTCTATTTTACAATATTGTATTTCAAACAATTATATTTCTGTCTTGACCCGCACAGATCAAAGCATACATGTAGTGATGAATTAGATTCTGAACTTCCACTGAACCTATGCGTCTAAGTTAAATATTTATGCGGTTAAAAGCAGTATGTATGTGTGTAAGTGAGAAGATTTCATATGGATGGAAATTTTAAAAGTCACCTTAATGAGAATGTAATAGTTAGGCTGAAGATCGTTTTTGTCAGAAACTGAAATAGGCTAAATGAATAAGGAAAAGAAGAAGTGCTTTACAGTCAAACTCCAATAAACAATGAGTTTTAACTCTGCCTTATATATCATGCAATAAATGTGGTATATTACTAAGTCCCTATTTTAGGGCATGCTTCCTATTTGGGTAGGTATTTCTTTCTCATTGTTCGATAAAGTAATGCAATTTAGCGAGTAGAATTCTCCAACCCTTGCATGTCCTAAAATTGTACTGTATTTCCTAGCAAGACTAAAATAAACAACGCCCAGATTATTCAATCCTCTGGTACTTTAGCATTAATTAATTTAAACTGATATGATGCTCGCTGTGGCTGGCCACAGGACAAAATTGCCTGGAGTACTAGTGCGAGATCGTGACCAGTGAGATCCACTGTGTCAAGCGTCAGGGCAAATACTTGCCGATGATATTTACTGGTATCTGCGCTAAAATCCCAAATTGGTGGAACTAGGGATTGATAGGCTTTTGGTTTCTTACTCCCATCGACTGAATAGTTCACGGGCTCACTTTGTAATTGGAAGGTTCTGGTGGTTGAGTGCTGCTGAGTATGAAAGTGCTGTCCAGTACTCTCTGATTTTTCAGTGGTCGTCTAACTAATGTCAGCTCATTATCAGACTTGAAAAAATTTAATTACCCATGTTTTGCAGTATCAGCATTAGTCTGACCTGTTGCATTTAAACAGTTTTCTCATTATACTTTTTGTAAACATGTCTAAGAGCAAGCAAATTTAATTTGGATGATTTCAAAAAATCTCAAAACAATCATTAATAGTAACAATTATACTATTTTTTAATTAAAATCAGCGTTTCACACACCACTTCGCATTCACATGTTAGTTAAATAGCAGCTACGATTTCGTACAAATAAATTTGTTGACTTCGTAAATAAAAAGAATGAAAAATAATCGTATTCTGAAGTTGTTCTTTCGTCCCTTAGTATTCCATTTGGAACATAGAGTCTTAGACTTTGGAGTTTCAGCGGTTTTATTTTCTTTCCTTCACGTTCCCCAGTAGAACATAGGGCCTCAAGCTAGTGGCTTGAAGTTCCTGTAGCAGTGTTTATTTTCCAGGATGGGGTTGCTAGCCTCATGCACAACCTTTCCTCTTTACCAGCATTATTTCTGGCTTAGCGAGGTAAAGGAGTGCGTCGGCTGGGGATCAAACCACCGACCATGTGCATGGTCGGCGAGCGTCCTAACCGCTATGCCACCGATGCAGTGGTGGCATTGTTTTTTTTACAAGGTGACATTGATAGCCTTCCAACCGTTACTTCTTTCCTGGATTACTATGGACTAGTAAACGGAGTAATTTAGACAGTCGAGAGCCAAACTAGGATCGCGTGCCTGGCTGATGAGCAAATGTATTGAAATATCTGACTCCAAAACAAAGTGTGACACAGTACCTTGCCTAACAATTATTTTGGTCATCCTTAGAACCTGGCCAATGAACTTCAACCGATACTAAGTACTAAGTCCTTTTTTTGTTGGTCACTATTTTGTGACTGATTCACCTCTGTGTTCTGGCGGTTAGTTGAGACTAGCATAGCTGACTGTCACGGTGTTTCTAGATTCTGAATGAATACAAGTTTTCCAAAGTCCTCCAGAATATTAATGACTGCGGAAGAATATGTAACCTAACTTACTAGAACTTCTTGCTAAACGATAAACAACATCAAATAAAGTATAATTATATTTTAATAGTTTACACACAATGATAAGTTTTGTTATTGGTAATATTTCGAGGAAAATTAGTGCCCGTGTTCACACCACTGTTGGAATTGTTTTTGTTTCATAAAATTTGATCAACACATTGTCGTGTTTATTATGTGGTTATAAATTCGTATCCAGTGACGTGCAATTATCAGACAAATACCTCCTTACAGATAAAAGCGTAAATTCTTTACAGAGGCAACCTGCTTAAAATTTGGGCCACCATAAACCTCCATAATTATATGGCATATAATTTCTCTTGTTCACTCTTATAACTGAATAAAATATGATTTGTAATGTTACTGTTTACTCTCATGAATATTTAAAATATTTACAACTTGCTGACTCCCTACTCTCTACTAAAATTTAAGAAGAAACATAATCATGAGTGGCCAAGTAACCGAATACATAAGAAAACTCTTCCTGAGGTTTATAGTTAAAATACAACTGCCAAAGAAACATAAACAACTAACTGAAGTCTCCAACTATTCAGTTATGCCTTTGAGTCTCAAAATGTGCTCCTGTACTTTTTCAATTGGCTTTCAAACAACTGTCATGAATTTTGTGGAGATGAAGAAGAAATATCATATGGGATTGGTTTGAACTTCAGGTCACTTACTGTTTTATTCAAAGAACCTAGATAAAGAGAAACTATCAAGTGATATATATCCCGCTGAAAATTCCATACACTGTATAAACATTGGTAAGCGTAAAGTTAGTATTAACAATAATTAATAAAAGATATTTCCAACTTACATAAAAATGTAGAAAGCCATGCAGGTTGACCATGATGTTCAATAGCTCCACAAACAGTATTTAAAAATACAAGTATAATTACAGCCCAATAAAACGGTTGACTTTTAACCATTCTTCTTATTGCATATCTATATAATTGAGATTAAGTTAAAAGAAAGGAAAGACAGTTATAATTGTATGCTTACTGCGTCAAATGGAGACTTTAATACTTTTCAATGAATCATCCTATCCAGAAAAGTAAGACAGACATCCATGCACTGCGAATCAGTATGGAAGTCTACAGGGCTTTAGAAATGGAGAAAGATACTAATTCTCAACACTACTGTCAATTTAGTGCTCATATATGGTTCAGATACTTGACTGGCATATCAACAAAACATTTCTAAAAGATTGCTGTAAATCTACGTTAGCACCTGACTTTGATCGATATTGAGTATCAGATGGCAAGCCCGATAGGATACGCAACAAAAAACTCTGGTGGAGAACCAAACAGTAACCTATGCAGGAGCGAACGGATATCGATAGAATATTCAATGAAAAGGAATTCAGGCGACATTGCATGCCATGCTTTCGAGTGGGACTGGCATAGGGGATGATCCATTAGGCGTGGGTCTGATGGCGACCTGGAAGAGATCATATGAAGGAAAGACCAAAGTATGTGAGCAGCTGTGCAGTCATTTGAAAGTGATGATAGACAATCAAATGCAGTGTAGATACGCTGTTGAAGCCTTACATTCTAGTCACAAGGTGAGGCATGTATATTAATCACAATAAATAACAGCATAAAATTTTAGCAACGAAAACTGTACTAAATAAAATGTGGCAGTGCAGTTCTTCCTTTATCAGTGTTCAAGGAATTCATTCTCAACTTCATGATATCAGATCAAAAATTTTGACTACTAAGCATCTATGCAATTACATACTACCACAATATCAGATGGTTTGAGGCAATCAGCAGGAAGTCCTACAATTAGATATTGTATTTACTGGCACTTGTAAACAAGGAGTGTCTGTAATCTTGAAGGAACTGATTTCCTCTCTGAAGTTTAAACCAGCCTCATCCAGTGATGCAATCACAGATGTTACCACTGAACTATTCACATTCACCGCTGAGTTTCTGTAGGACTATAACGGATACATGGACTTGTCACAAGGCAGTAACCATTGTCATATGTCCAGTTCTTGGTTTGGCGCAGACTGAACTCTATCAGTCAAGTGTGTGATATATACATCAAGTTAGGTGACTGGTCATCGCGGTAGAATTCAGGCTGCACCAGCACCAAGGACTCAATATCTAGCCGCACCCTAGTGACCAATTAATGTATACTATTACAGTATTCAGGTTTCACGCATATATCGATAAACATTTGCCTGTGAGGGTAAATAAGCATTTCTATAGCTGCACAAAAAATACGAGTGGAATTTCACCTTTCATTTAGTCATTTGCTGATCGAATTAAGAGTCAACTTTAAAAATGATAGATTCCAAAGCTAGAATATGAGGCTAATAAGTGATATAATATATTTCTTTGATTCGAATTCCTAGCTGTAATATAACATGTATGTGTAAACTCAACCAAGGTAAACTGGCCATTGAAAAAGTACCATTGAAGTTATTTAGTCTATTTAATAAAAAGAACAGATATAGTCGATAGAATTATCAGTGTTTCAGAGGCAGAATAATAATAATAAAGCAAAATTTCCCTTGATTTTGAGTTCCTTCACTTATTTTCTCACTCGGCATTGTAACTTCTTAAAGTCACAATTCGAATAATCGACTTAGCTATGAGTAATCTAATAAAGTATAATTATATTTCAAGTGTAAGTGTGTTATCATTTTGTCCTGTAAAAGAAATGCTTATTAACTATACTGATTTTTCGAATTTTCCTTAAAAGTCACTTTTTTTTATTGATCTACTTTTTCACATACTGAGAAAAACATCGATTGGTAATGCGTAGATTGTATCAAATTTTGATGCTTACATTCTAATAGATAGATTATAGATAGCGTATACTGTTTCTTGAGATTAATATTACTCCACTATCGCAAAAAATATTAGTACTTCTTTGGAACGCAGGGCTTCATCTCCATTTCATCCTATTTTCTTCAATGCCTTTTTTGCTGGCCCAGTGATCGCCGATGAGCTTTCATCTCCGCCGCACACGATCTCTTATATATCATCCTCGGACTCCAACCCAACTCTTTGTTTCCCATTCAGGCTGTGTTTGATGGCCTTCTTGTCACGTGATGTCACTCAGTGGTCTCTTCAGTGTGTGTCCAATCGATTTCCAATTTCCTCTGAATGTTTGTTGGACGATACACTGTTGGTTGGTTCGTCAACAGAATTCCTTATTGCCAATGTTTTCTGGCCATCTTCATCCTCGCCACCTGTAGTTGAAACGCTGCTGCCTAGGTAAATGAAGGAAGTTACCGCTTTCAAAATCATTCTATTGATGGTGACTGGTGCTAGTCTAGTTGTCGGTGGTTGATTGGTTATCTTCATCATCTCTACCTTTTCTATGTTCACTTGAAGTCCTGTCTTCGCTACCGGGCTCTTCTATCAACTTGTCGGTTTCTGCCTATAAGTCTTCGAGTTCATGGGACATCGGACATAAATTACTCACAAAGTCTAAATCTTCTAGAAACTCGTTATTCCCCCTACATATTCCTGTCTTCTCAATCTGTCAGCAGAGTCTGCCGCATAATCTAGTTCACCACAATTAGGAATATCATCGATGATAGTGGGCAACCTTGTTTTACTTCTGTTTTCACTTCGAAAGCTTCGATGAGAGTTTTCCACTGTGGACCACTTAACATGTGTCTACGTCACCACATAACTGTTGAATGCGGTTGATAAAGGTTAAGGCCAGCCGACAGTGTTGAAATGGTTTCCAAGTTAAACGTTTTTTCAAAGTCAATGAAATTAAGGTTGAAATTTGGTTCTAATTCTATTCTATGTCCGATTATGATATAAAGTGTTGCATTTCAATTCGCGCATGATTTCTTGTTTCTGAATCAGTTTGTTCTGGACGGAATTCTGCATCCAGTGCATCTTTTAGTCTCTCTAGGAAGACACGATTTAATGTTTCCTTTGGAGTGGAAAGCAGCATAATTCCGCGCTAGTTTTGCTAAGACTTAGGTCGTTTTTTTGGTAATTTGACAAGGTAACCTTTCTTCCAGTGCGTCGGCAGCACAGTGGTAGAATGCTCGCCAATCACGCATGTGGTTTGGGGTTCTATCCTCGACCGACATACTGCCTTAACTCGCTGAGCTAGTAATAAGACTGGTAGAGAGGGAAGGTTGGGCATGAGGTTAGCAACCCCATCCTGTAGAAATAAACACCACTGCTACCAAAACTTCAAGCATCTAGCTTAAGAGCACCCTATGTTCCACTGGGAATGTAAAGGAACAAACAAATATTTCAATAGTTTACACACAATGATAAGTTTTGTATTTGGTAATATATCGAGCAAAATTGCTGCCTGTGTTCACACCAGCGTTGGAATTGTTTAGTTTTTTTAATTGTCTGTTTAATTCATTTTTCATTCTTCCCCGGCTGCGGATCTGCTTAAGTGACATTCCAATTCACTGATCAGGAAAGATTCTGAGAATAATTTGCAGCTGCTTTAAAACTGTAACCAATCAAATCCCTACAAGCCATTACTTGATAAAAAAGGAAGGTTGTTACAGGCGGCCTGCTTAAATCTTGAGCTACCAAAATTTCCATCCTACATATTGCATCCATTTCCTCGTATTTATTTTGTTTTAATTATTCACTTATGTGTCCAAATCGCGTTACTTACTCTCGCGGATATTTAAAATGTTTTCAACCTGATGATTTACGAGCGTATAATAACCTTAAGAAAAAGCATCATGGTGGGTGGCAGAGATCATTAAAGTGTACTCCAATGCATCAAATGACTGTTCCTGTGATTATGAGCACAAATCGCAGGTCATTATCGAACAAGATTAATTACTTGCATTCTCTATTATACTCAAATGTATATTGTAATACTAGTGTAATTACTCTTCAAGAAACTTGGCTCCATGATTCATATGACGATAATTTAGTCTCCTTAACTGGTTTTACAATCTACCGACAAGATCGATGCAGCTCAAAGAGGAAGAGAGTTGGTGTTGCCACTTTTATTAATTCACAGTGGTCTACTGCCAACAACGTCTGCTTCAAATTCTCAAATGACAATATTGACTGTATAACTGTAAAATGTCGACCTAAACACTTATCTAAGTATAGCTTCATTTTTGTCACAAATATCTATATCACACCTTGTTGCAGTCCCTCAGAACTATCTATCTTCACTGATGAATTCACTATTTTTGCTGCTGCTTCGTTTGGTAACTCCTTATCTATAGTGACTGGCGACTTCAACTCCAGCGACTGCAGTTTTATTACATTGCTGGGCCATGAAAATGTTGTTAATTTCCCAACTCGACAAAATACTTCACTTGATTTAGTATTTATAAATGATTCTGGAATATACGAAGTTCGTAAAAGAGCTCCGCTCTTCAATTCTGATCACTGTATTGTACGAATCTAATCCAAACTTTACGGAAAGTTACACAGTAAAGCCTTCTCAAACTTGTCTAAGAAAGTTGTTCACAGATGCTACTCAAATGAGAACGTACATCATCTTAGAAACATGCTCAGTGACACAAGATGGGATTTGTTTAATGATGATTCACTTGATGACAATATCTCTAATATTACATCCTATCTGAAATTCTGTTTTGAAATTTGCTGTCTAAAAGAAACACTATTTGTCAAATTTGACCGTTTCTCCTCGCCTCAACTTAAAAAGCTTCGTAGATAGAAGGAAAAACTATATAAGATGAATGATAAAAGTGGTGTAAAAAGAACTAACTTCTTAATTAAGTCTGAAATCCAGAGGTTGAATGTAATATATAACCAGAAATTCATATCCTGCAAAAATCCTTCTAATATGTGGAAACTATTTAAGGAAATCACTGGTGGTAAGCAGATAAACAATATTCCATATTCTTTTGATGTATGTACTCCTAACAAATCTTTTATTTACTCTCCCTCAAATTCCATGCTTCCCAGCATCACTTGTGTCAATAATAGCCCCTTTCCAGGTTTTAACACAAA